TGATATTAGATACAAGTGGAGAAAAGCCCTAGAATTCAGGGTCTCTCAAAATAGAGAGTAGGTTACGGAACAGCAAACATAAATGAGCCTCCATCATGACAGCTGTCTGCAGGTACCAGGCATAGGTGCTTGAAATTCAGCTAATTTTGGTAGTTGAATCTGCAGTCGATTCCATAAGTACAGATACGAAAGGATGAACATTTAGAACCGCAAGTTAGCTAAGAAACTGGGTCTGTTGTGGAGGCCCACTGCCGCTGCCCCACACCCCCACCTTCCAATGCCCCATCCTCTGATGCCCCACTCCCTACCAATGCCTCATTCCCACCACCACCACAGACCAGAGAGGGATAGCCAAAGAGCCAGAAGTAACCTGTGGGCTGTAAAATGCCCAGGTTTTACAGGGTGATTTTGGGTCAGTCAGTTTATGTCAGCACAATCCAGGGTTGTTGTTGGGGGGAAAATAGGAGACAGGAATATTGAGCATATCAATGTTGTTCTGGAAGACTTACTGGTTTTTGTAGATTTCTTGTTCTTTTTCTTTCTAATTATATACTAATGACTTAGATATTAATAGGAGGATAGCGAAAAGGAAGAGCATCAATGCTTTTGAACCTTGGTGTTGGAGAAAACTTCTGAGATTATTTTAGACAGACAAATAATAAAACAGTGGACCATTAAACAAATCAACACAGAGTTCTCATTCAAGGCACAAATAACCAGGGTCAAATTATCCTACTTTGATAATTTGAACAGACTATGTGACGATCTTGCTCTCTGGAGAAGGTCAAATGCTGAGAAAGGTGTGGGGGGCGGGGAGAAGAATACAACCAGCAGCAAGGTGAATAGACTCAGTTATAGTACTGATGAGTGCAACATTAGAAGATCTGAAGGACCAGTTTAGGAATGGATCATTATGGAGAAAATCTATGCAGTCACTACGATTCAAGAATGACTTCATGGCATGTAATCATCATAATCAGTGAAAGCATTCATGCTCTTAAAGATTGCAAAAAGCCAATATTGCAAAGCTGGAAGGACACCCCTTCTCCATTAATTTTCTCCATTAATTATTCAGCTGTCTGAAGAATTTACCTTGTCTAAATTTGAATAAGTATTCCCGCCACCTCAGAAAAAAAATATCTTAGAGAACTCTTTAGAAATTTGGAATGGATATGTTTAATTTCTCATTTTGTTTACTCAGCTGATTTATATGTGAATAACTAAATGCAACTGAATAAAGTAACAATATCAACATAATTTAATCATTACCTTGATCTTGAATTACTGCACAGATGCAGAGCTCAAATGTTCCTTATGTTCTAAGATCAAAGGATGCAAAATACATTCAAGTAATAAATTGGGTACCAACTGTCTAAGATGAATTAAGTTACATTATATGAGCACTAAATGTTAAGTCACAAAAGCCTTATTTTTTTTAAGGATCAGGTTGTTTGGGAATAAACAGTATTTTCATAGAATGTGGTAATTTCTAAAATCCTTCCATTTCTAAACTTGGATTACTCTTATTAATGGTCTTACCCTAAAATAATAAATACCTCAATACCCCCTGGTGCAATTGTTACAACTGTAAGGCTTTAATGATGTATGCAGCACTCTCCTGGTATAACTAGAGCGGAGAAGCTTCTATGAAGCCTTTACACCAATTATATCCTAAACTTACTTCACAAGTGTTTGCAAAGTTATTTGGGAACAGTTTGAGGCTGTTGGACCTGAATAAGCAGACAGAATCCTTAGGAACTCAGCCACATAATCCTAGATGTAGGCCCCTCCTGGCCCGGAGTGTTGTGAGAATGGGTTTTGGTGGTAATTTTTTGACTGAAATGATTTTTCCTTTTCCTCTTAAAGAGACCTTGTTTACTTCCTTCTCAAGAAGCCTAGATCTTCTTTATCTGGTATCTAACCATCTTTTTGGAGGAAAGGTGTGGAGAAGGTGGGTCAAGGTTATCTGAGAGATTACCTCTTTCCAATTATATCAGCATAACCCATTAGATCCAGAGGGAGCATGCTGAAGATACTATCTGCCAGGGACCTACAATTGACAGGTCCTAGGAAGCAGGCCTGCCTTATGGAATATTCTCATTGACATTAGGTTAGCTAGCTCCATCCCTTTTAATGTTTACATTTCCTTAAGTCCCTTAAGTTTCTTTATGGTATCAAGGAACTGAAGCAGTGGTGGAATTCAAATTTTTTTTACTACCGGTTCTGTGGGCATGGTTTGGTGGGCATGGCAGGGGAAGGACACTGTAAAATCTCCATTCCCACCCCACTCTGGGGCCAGCCAGAGGTGGTATTTGCCTGTTCTCTGAACTACTCAAAATTTCCACTACCAGTTCTCCAAAACCTGTCAGAACCTGAATTTCACCCCTGAACTGGAGATTTGTTTAGATGGCTCTGCAGTTAAGGTGGATGTATTCACTCAATCTGCTTGAAGTTTGCATATATTTTTGTTTTAATTATCTTAATTTTAATGCTGTTTTTTCTATTTTTAAATATTTTTATAATGTATCCTTACTATTGTATGCCATCCAGAGTGAAATTATATTTTTTAAAGGAGACAATAACAAAGTGGCAGATGATCTTGATCAGAGGGAAAAGAAGTCCTTGGTGCTCTGAACTTGGTTGAGCACCAAGGACCCTCATTTCAACCCCAAGCTACAAATATTTTCCTTTAGAGCAGGGGTGTCAATTGTGCGGCGTCACAGCAGCATCACATGATGTATCAGGACTTTTTTCCTTCGCTAAACTGGGCGTGGGTATGGCCAGTGCATGACGCATCCGGCCAGTGGGCCAGTTTTGACAGCCCTGCTTTAGAGGGAAAAGGGCACTCTTACCTCAGCTTGAAACAGTCACTACCATAAACCCAGCTGATATCATTCACAATTACTCACCTATCTTTACCTCTGAGACAATGGGTGTCAAAGCATAACAGTGGAAAAAGATGGTGCTCATATTTATAGGAGTAGGATGCAAGTGGGGATAAGGCTGGGATAGGTATGCACTGAACAGTTTTCTTTCAAGCTCAGTCTAAACTTTCATGTTCCCGAAGTTTGACTAAATCATTGAATCAGCTGAAGTTCAGCAGAAATATGTCTGGATCATTTGGGATAAGTTTAGGCAAAAATCAAATCCAAAGGAATGAGTAATTTTAAAGAGAAGAACCATCCTGATGCATGTTACTTGTTCTACCATACAGTATTTCTCCATATGGCTTTTCTTTCCTTCCTCCATCTCCCCCACAATGCCTGACAAAGCATGTCACTCCAGCCCATCCTTCTCTTAAACTATCAATACCAAAGCTCATAGTAAAAGCAGTAACCATAACCTCGTTCTAAATATTAATAAAACAAATGAGATAATTGTAAATTTTAGAGCAGGCATGGTCATAATCCACTCAGTGCATCTGTATAGGTGGTGAGCAGTATTAAGTATCTGGGGGTGCAGATAACAATCTGAACTGGTCTCCACACATCATCCTTAGGGAAGCAGGCAAACCAGCATCTGCAAATCCTGCAGTAGGTTCTACTTACCTTTACTACCAGTTCGCAAGGGGATCTTGTTTGCTTCTGCGCAGATTGCATCCGGGGCACGGGGTGGGGCCACCCACCGGTTTTACTACCAGTTCTTGCGAACCGGTCTGAACCTGGGGCAATCCACCACTGGTCAGATGAGAACACATCTTTCTCCTTGTCTTGGTCTACTCTACTTTTTAGAGGTAAGACCGAGAATGTTTTAACAAACTGCATCAGTTTGGTTTGGTGACAGCAGTGCATCAGTCAGTCCATATAGAGAATGGTAAGGATAGCCAAGATTATAGGAAGCTCAGTTATTCAGAATACTGCTTATAAGCACTATGTGCTTAGACCTCAAAGCATTGTTAGAGACCCTACACACCCACGTTATGGTCTGTTTCTGTTGCTCCCCTCTTGAAAGGTTTTTAAGTATTTCTAGCAGGACCAGATTCTGTAACAGCTTTGTTCCCTATTCCATCCATCTGGAAAACTTGCAAGATTCATTTTTCTTGCCATGTACATGTATACATCCAAACTAGACTGTTTCTTGTCATATGTGGGTATATATGTATTTTTGTCATGTTTATGTAGTGTACATTGGAGGTGGTAATCCTTTGAAGTATATGCAACAAAATTTCATTTTAATGTATACCGATTAGTGTACAAAGTGACAGCCTATCTTACAAGGTGTCAAGGCCAGACTGCCCCAGACCATGTTTCAATTCATATCCAGAAAACAAAGCTGTTGTTTACTGAACAAAACATCCACAATACAGACTATCTGGAATCACTTGTCCCATGCCCAAAACTCTTTGCAAATCCCTAACCACAATGCAGGGAAAATTATGCAAAACCAAACTAGAAAACACCTGGTTTACGAGAACACAAAACATTGAAGGGAGTGTGAGTTGAGCTCAATTGGTACTGCACATCAACTTTTTAATGTCAAGCAGAGTCCTGGAACATGAACAAAGATGCGATGAACCAGTATGTATGGCAAGCAGCTTCATAATTCCGCACTAGAGCTGTGGTGAGTGGGTGACTTATTACAGGAAAATGAGGTACACTACCCAACTGAACTCTGGTCAGGAAGATCATAGTAAACGCCCAGACACCAGGTGCTCACATATCATAGATAATCAGAACATTGATTTCATTACAAAGCTATGTGGGAAGCTTTGCATTTTTCAAAAGCCGTTTCACTCTATAAATATTGAGAATACAGTTGCAAGGAATGTAACAAAAAGCTGCACAGCCATACTTGCATTGTGGACCCAGATCGTTGGGGACAGTACGCACTCTGTAAACAGCTTAGAGGGCTGTAAGGCACTAAGTGCTATTGCTATTCCTGTCTGTAAGAAAGATTGAGGTACATGAACACACATGCACCTTTAACAAAGTAACATAACTCTTTTAAACTTCCCCAAATCAAAAGCCGTTAGGAATAATTATCAAGAGAAAAGAAAGGGGTTGTTCTCAGTTCATTTTATTAGTCACTGACCTGTAATCCAGCAAGGTAGTTTCTATTTGTTGTAGATACCTTTTGCCTAAATCCAGAAGAAATTAAGCAGGAAATGAAACACTCGTTTATTATAAATCAAAAAACAAACTGAGGTATTGAATTTTTATTTCAACATATTCCTGTCGGGAAGTTTCAGAATTTGAGAAATAAAAGATGCCTATCCAGTTTTAAATTTAAATACATTCGCTTCCCAAATAGATTCTGCCACTCGGAATTAAACCTAAAATAGCCTACAACAGCGCCTTCTACAAACTCAACCCTATTTGAACCGTTCCAGGAGTACCGTGGTCGCTACCGTGTGCGCATGCGCATCAATGTTCCCTCCTAAAATGCCCTAATTCTATTAACTTTTCCATAAACGGCTTGCCTTTGGCTATCTGCCAAGGCCGATTGGCCCAATGGCTCCCACTTACCTTCGTGCCTAGCCTGGATTAGAACTGGCCGTCGTAACTGGCTTTAACCATTCCATTAAACTATGATAATTTAGTAAAGAGGATTAGAGTAAGTATGCATGCATAAGATGGCTGACCGCTTTCAGTTTTCAAAGCACTTAAAACTCGAATTAAAGAGACTTTCAGCTCCTTTCGAGACGAAGGTGGCGGCTCTTAAAAGAGCCTTTGGGTTTGGTGGTGTTTTTCGAAAGAGGCCGAAGAGACTGGAGGGCGGCTGGGCTTAAGCTCTCTCCCCGCGGATGCGCCGCGCCAGCTGAATGTCCTTCGGCATGATGGTCACCCTCTTGGCGTGAATCGCGCACAGGTTCGTGTCCTCGAACAGCCCCACCAGGTACGCTTCGCTCGCCTCCTGCAGCGCCATCACGGCCGAGCTCTGGAAGCGCAAGTCGGTCTTGAAGTCTTGGGCGATTTCACGCACCAGCCGCTGGAAGGGCAGCTTGCGGATCAGCAGCTCGGTGGACTTCTGGTAGCGGCGGATCTCCCGCAGGGCCACGGTGCCCGGGCGGTAGCGGTGAGGCTTCTTCACGCCGCCCGTAGCCGGCGCGCTCTTCCGGGCAGCCTTGGTCGCCAGCTGCTTGCGGGGCGCTTTGCCGCCCGTTGACTTCCGAGCCGTCTGCTTCGTCCGAGCCATCTCTTCGCAGAAAGGAAAAAACGGGAACTGAAAAAGACAAATTCGCGGGTCAGCATTTATACATCGCCTTGCACTTTTGATTGGCTGCTGCTAAGAAAAAGGCTCTTTCCATTGGAAGAAAGCTAATCGTTGATTGGCTGAAGCTGGGAAACCAAAGCTTCATTGGATAATTTAAAAGTGCGCGCAATTATTTAAGATGAGACTGACAATTTTAGCTTTTTTGTTACTGTTACTGTATTTAATTTTAAATTGGTATTCTGTGCTTTCCCCAAGTATTACTGTGTTTTAAAAAAGCCGGAAGGTAAAATCTATTTTTTTCCCTTCGTTCACAGCTTGACTGAAAATTATTTTTTTAAAAAAAGTTTTTTATTAGTAATTCAAAATTAAAAACATTGGACATAGATATGACATTACTGGTCTCAAGCATCTTCCAACACTTTAAGTTAATAATAATATACTAATGATGATATATATAATATATTCCTTACACCTTATACGTTATTTAAACATAGTATATTAATCATTTATACCTTATTCCTATATAATTATACGTATCTATGCCTACATATACCTATCTCTATCTATACAATTCACATATTTATCTATAATAACGTGTATAATTCTAGTCTAACACTACACATGTCTCGGCTATCCTCCTTTTATCTAACCAAGACTCACCTTAGAACTCAAGTATAAAAGCGAAACATTGTACTATAAAATCTGGGCAAAATTCTATAAATGGTTAGAAAATTCTATGAGTAGTTGACTGAAAATTATTGAGGAACCTAGATTATTACTATGGCATCTTTTTTTCAAATATTCTATTGTTGGAAGTGCCTTATATACAATTACACTCAATGGACACCAATTTCATTTATGCACGTGCACCCGTTGAGAATGTGGTTTCTCTTCAATTATAACATTATTAATTATTAAATTTTAAGCGTTCCGTCTCCCATTTAATATTAAGAAAATAGCCATTTATAGTTTATTTAGCCCTTCTAAGAAATTATCTTGTGGATAGTGGAAAATTTTGAGATGACATGATGATTCTTAGGAGTATGATCATTTAACTGAGACTTCTTGAAAAGTCTTATGTTTAGTAACTTTGTGCTCTCAGATACCACACAACAGATTTATCAGTTTGAATCTCCGGAAGGGTCAGTGAAACACTGAGTGAAATAAATTAAACGAGTGGATTTCCCAGATCCAGTGACGTTTTCGAAATCATGTAAACACTGATAGAGCAACTCTATTAGAACATCGTTCATCATGTTCCATTCTCCTTCGTAATCGGGGGGAGGAAAGAGGGGGTGTCATGCGACCAGTTAGCTGTAGCCAATATACGCCACATCAAATGTCCCAATAATGAAACAGTATGTGCTGCTTTATTTTATACTAGCTTCCATGCAAATAAAAGGGTTTTGATTCTGGTTTTCTATTGGATAACAGAGCAAAGAGTGACGACCGATTGGATTACTTGACATCGAGCGGCTATTGGCTGTTCAGATGACGTCTTAGTGTGAGCCTATCACAAGCGCATCACAAAACCCTGTGATAGGGAAGAAAAAGACCTGTAATTCAACCTGAGCGAACGAAACCTTCATTCACAAGCATTTTTAAAGTTATGCCGCGTCCATTCCGCTTCCCGGTCGGGGAAACAAGCATCTTTTCTTTTTAAATTAAAAGGCGTGATTCACATTTATTGACACCCATTTAAGCTTTTAGGGTTTTTCGAAGCAAATCTGGAAGGGCTGCGATATCGGTAACAATATATTTCATAGGAACTTTCGATATAAACGCCCTTGTCCGTTTTAATAGATATTCCCTAAATTTGGGGGAGACTACTGAAAGTGGAAAACTTCCTTTAAGCAAGTGAAAACCCGACCCCGTGCACCCTTGTTAATGAGAAAGTGCCCACTTAACCGAGTGGCATTTGTTGCCCAGTTGCTTACTAACCAAATTGCTTACAAACCCAGAGGTGGAAACCTATTCCCTCCCCACTTTTCAGAAGTAATGATTCGTCTGCTTTAGTGTAGAGCTCCGTTCTTAGGTGCGCGTGCCCCGAAGCGCAAGGACACCCCTGAACCCTAAAGAATGATGCCCTAGTGCAGGGGTGGGCAAATGTGGCTCTTTTACAACCCGTGGACTTCAACTCCCAGAATTCCTGAGACAGCCAAGCTGGCTCAGAAATTCTGGGAGTTGAAGTCCACGGGTTGTAAAAAAAAGCCACATTTGCCCACCTCTGCTCTAGTGTAAAGGATTCCACGCAAGTTACACTGCATTGTTATTTTGTTTCAGGGTATTAAAAGCATCCGGACAGTGTTCTACTGAGCGGACGACAGCTCTCTTTTGGATTCTGTGGGTGGCTCTTAAAAGAGCCTTTGGGTTTTTAGAAAAGCAACCACGGGCCAACTCTGGATTTACTTCTTCTTGGGCGCCGCCTTCTTCCCTTTGGCCGCTTTAGGCTTGGCCTTGGGCTTGACCGGCTTCGCCTTCACAGCTTTCGCTTTAGCCGGACTTTTGGCGACTTTCTTAGCCTTGACTGGTTTAGCCTTCTTGGGACTCTTGGTAGCCTTCTTAGCCGCCGCGGGCTTTTTGGGTTTCTTGGGACTCTTCTTGGCCGCCGCTGCCTTTTTGGGCTTCTTGACGGCACTCGCGGGCTTCTTGGCAACCGGCTTCTTGGGCTTCGCGGCTTTCTTCTTGGGCGCTTTCTCTTTCCCTTCGCCCGATTTCTTGCCGAGTTTGAAGGAGCCGGAAGCGCCGATTCCCTTCGTGTGCACCAGGGTCCCTTTGCTCACCAGGCTCTTCAGACCCAGCTTGATGCGGCTGTTGTTCTTCTCCACATCGTAGCCACCAGCGGCCAAAGCTTTCTTCAGGGCAGCCAGAGACACCCCTTTGCGCTCCTTGGAAGCGGCCACCGCCTTGGTGATCAGCTCGGTGACGCTGGGACCCGACGCCTTGCGCGCTTTCGCCGCTCCCGCTTTCTTCGCCTTCTTCGCCGGAGCTTTGGAAGTTACAGCTGGGGCCGCGGCCGTAACAGCAACAGCAGGCGCCGTTTCAGACATGATCGCTGAGAGAAGCAACTAAAAAAAATTAATTCTCCAAACACAAAAAGTGAGCTCAAGTAGGTCAGCCGCTGTTTATTTATAGAGCTGAGCTGCTTTGTGATTGGTCCGCTCCAGAACCCGCCCTGTTGCAAGGCTGAAGGGACTCTTCCGACCGCTCAGTTTGTGTTTCTTTAGAGTTAATAAATTGCAAATTTTACAGAATTTATGCCACTAAATAACGAAATCTTACAATGGGGGAAAGAAGAGAGTGTACTTTTTATACCTTTAATTTTTCAAAAAGCAGAACGCAACATATTCTTTTTAAAAGGGCACATAACCACCGAATGCAGGATCTGGGAAGACCTGGAAAGAGTGGAAGTTTTGTTTTTCTTTGTAAATTAAAACAATGCATTTTTTTAAATGTTCGGGAAAACTATGCAGATCACTTCTTTAGATAGTAATCTCTCAGGTGAGGCACAATATGTGGGTTTTATCATAACAGCCTCACTATAAATCAAGTTCAAGTAAACTGAGGTAACACAGACTTCTACAAAGTACACTCACCATTGCTAATCAAGCAAGCCCTAAGCAAGTCACTATCTTCAAAGAAAAACTATCAGATAATATAACAATATGGGCAAAATTATAATTTCATATGCTAATATATATGCTATAATATCCTTTTCTCACATTTATAAATTTAACCCTATATTGAATGCAAAAAGGCAACCTAAAGATTGATCATTTTAGTGGGACCTTTTACAACTCAGTTTAGGAAGACTAACACTAATATTCCTGGCTGGGGATTGAATAATAGTAAATTTAAAAGGATTTTCCTGTTGAGATTTCACCCAAGCATTAGAAACAAAATGACCAGACACATTTTTATTCATAAGAGACCTACATTCTGCTGAATTCAATGGGATTTACACCTAGAAAAATAGAGATTACAGTTTAGATACAATTTCACTTTTCATTGGCAAAAAGCTTTATGGAGCAAATATTTTATTAAAAATTCTGATTTATGCCTCAGTTTAAATAAGCGCAGTCAGCATGGAAACTACTTTGCTGTTAAAAGAGTTTTTTTTTTAATTAGTTTGGCATTCAATCCTTAGTTTGAAATATTCTGATTGCTGAGCATCACCATATTTCCCCTTGTTACATTTGAGTACAAAATAGCCTTTAAAACTACATCCTACTTAGTTATTTGGGTGAAAGTCTCAAGTCATGAGATTCATTTCATTGTAAATTTACAGTGCACACAGGGATGAACAAAATGTAAGTGCTTTCACATACCATTAGAACCAATGTGTATACGAAACTACAAATGCTGGGCATGTCAGCAGTGAAATAAATTTAGCAATCAATGGAATTTATACTCAAATACTTGTATAGGATTATGAACTTTTATAGAGAATCCAAGGCAAGTCTATGTTATTAAACAAATCTCGTTCAGCCCTTTTTCCCATAGTAAAATAGAATTGCAAGTCAGATAGATTTCATCCTTCACTCTCTTCCAGAACAAAGAAGTTAGAATATTTCATTTGTGGCTACATATACCACTATCTTTCCTGAAATACATCTAGTGAAAACAACCAACAAATCAACTCTGAAAATTAGGAGAAATATAAAGTGTTAATATTTAGGTAGGCTTTAAACTTTGAATTATACGTGTATTTTATATATTTTCAGATGATGAATATGAAGAGTTCTGGAGTGAGTTCTACTTCTCCCTTAGCCATGGAAGCTGGCTGGGTGTTTTTCTTAGCCCAAATACCTCACAGGGTTGTTGTGGGAAAAATAGGAGGAAGGAATATTGTGTTCCCTTCCTTGAAATATTTGAAATAAAATTCTTTATTGGCCAAGTATGATTGGACACACAAGGAATTTGTGTTTGGTGCATAATAGTAATACAGGAGGGATTTTAAAAAGTCTCTTTCTCTTACATACACGATATGTACGCCCTCCGCTCCATAGAAAATGTAACTGCAGCAACAATCTCATTTTGCTAAAGAGCGGCAATCACGAAATCCTGAAGCTCTCAGTTTGGCAGAGATGCTGCGGAAAGTCACAAAAACAACACAAACATCAAAACCAGGGTAATAGGCGGAGCTTTTTTGGCATCAACCAAAGCGCGCGTTTTCAAATCCAGAAGCTTTCCAATGGAAATTGCCTTCCTGGAGCCAGCCAATCAAGAGAGAAAGCGGGACTCGCTATAAATTAGGCAGCGGGAGACTCGACCTTTCCTTAAAGGTTTCTTTCCTCGTCCTCGTTTGGCGCGAGTGGAGAGATGGCTCGGACGAAGCAGACGGCTCGGAAGTCAACGGGCGGCAAAGCTCCCCGCAAGCAGCTGGCGACCAAGGCTGCCCGGAAGAGCGCGCCGGCTACGGGCGGCGTGAAGAAGCCTCACCGCTACCGCCCGGGCACCGTGGCCCTGCGGGAGATCCGCCGCTACCAGAAGTCCACCGAGCTGCTGATCCGCAAGCTGCCCTTCCAGCGGCTGGTGCGTGAAATCGCCCAAGACTTCAAGACCGACTTGCGCTTCCAGAGCTCGGCCGTGATGGCGCTGCAGGAGGCGAGCGAAGCGTACCTGGTGGGGCTGTTCGAGGACACGAACCTGTGCGCGATTCACGCCAAGAGGGTGACCATCATGCCGAAGGACATTCAGCTGGCGCGGCGCATCCGCGGGGAGAGAGCTTAAGCCCAGCCGCCCTCCAGTCTCTTCGGCCTCTTTCGAAAAACAACACCAAACCCAAAGGCTCTTTTAAGAGCCGCCACCTTCGTCTCGAAAGGAGCTTGAGCCCATTTTGTCAAACAAATCCCGAGGCGGTTAAGGAAATGTTGCCCCGTACCTAAATTGCAGCACCAAAAGGGGTGAATTTTGAAGTATTTCTGTCCGCTTAGTTTATTTGAAGCCCTGATCTGGACACAAGTTTCCATTATATGAATCGCCATTTTGGGATCTGGAAAATTCTGTATTTTTGTGTGGAGATTTATGGCTATCTTTGGAAGAATTTGTTTTTTGTAGCTTTGGAAGGAGGGTTATTTCACCTCAATTGTGCAGGAGTCCACCAACTCCTGCATTTGCCCAAGGGTAGTCCCGAAGTTTCTGATCCTTCTCAGATGAGTGAAAAAGGAGAAGTAAATTTCTAACTTCCCGCCCAACCGTTGAGAACAAACACCAATTCAACTTTCCCCAGGAACTCTAGATAGTAATTTGCATGTAGGGGAGAGTGCCTCCTGAATTTTGGATAAAGAGCAAGGTAGTCACATTCCTAGCAATCTACATGTTTCTGAACCCTTTGGGAACTGTGTCCCAAAGGGTTTAAACCTTAAACATCTCAAAACCTGTTTCCATCAATATTTTAATTTGAAATTTTAAGATACTGCAGATCTCTTTGTCCCAAATGTGCTTTTTCAAGATAACTTGTTTTCTTTTGGGGGTTTTGTTTTGTTTTTCCTTGAAGTTTTGTCCATCCAAGAAGCTTCATCAGTTCTGACTGGTGAATTGGAAGGATTTATATTCCTTGCAGGAATTTACTATAAAATGTATTCCCTAGGTAACTTCAAGGAGAGCCAAATACACAACTTTTTAAAACCTGGTTATGTGTTTCAGTTTTTCTTTAATTATCCCTTTCCCCATTCTTTGAAAAACCACCTCACATTACTTATTCACAAATTCCTAGATATTGATATAACCCACCCACAATTCACTATAGGTATTCCTTGACTTACAACCACAATTGGAATCACAATTCTCGTTGCTAAGCAAGGAAATTAAGTGAGTCGTGCCCAATTTTACAATCTGTTTTGCCATGGCTGCTAAGGGAATCACTGCAGTTAAGTGAATCATAGTGTTGCTAGCAAATCTTGTTTCCCCCATTGACTTAGCTTGTTGCAAACTGGCTGAGAGGATTGCAAATGATGATCATGTTACCCCAGGATGCTGCAACTGTCCCACTTGCTAAGTAACCAAATTCTGATCACATGATCATGAGGATACTGTAACAATCGTGTGAAGACTGGTTGTAAGTCACTTCTTTCAATGCCATTGTAACTTTCAACCATCACTAAATAAATGGTTGTAAATCAAGAACTACATGCCTTTTAGGATCACAGTATTTAAACTTCTACTGGCTAGTGATATTTTGCTTTGCTGAATGTAGCTTTATGTCTTTATATTAATGCTTTATTAATACGATGAGTCAGTTTACCATGCTGAAGTCAAGCAATGAATTTGCATAAGTCCCTGTTGAGAGTTTGTTTCAGTATGTGGCACGAGTTCAGATCACAGGATAGAGAAAATCGTTAACCATGGAAAGAATGTCATATGAATGCAGTCACAAAAATTGATTAGTGATACCAAAGTGAAACATTTTATGCTTTCCGAATGGCTGTCATATACCTTCCTTGCTGTTATTATTTCTATCTACCATCACTAAACTTTTCTGATTTAGACTTTAAAGTCTCAAAGGTAGCATTTAGATGGAACCTGGGGAAAATAAGAGATGTACATATACTTGCTTACCATAGAAACAAAGAAATTATTAAATAATTAAACATAGTCTTTAAATAGGCTCTCTTCTGCTATTTCCCCCCAAATCTTAGGCAGATGTTAAAAATATTCCTAACCATGTCTCAAGGGGGGAGGGGAAATATTATCAGGCTTTCTTTCTGAGACTATTTCAGACCTGTTTTGCTAATACTTCCTACATCCCTCTTCCATATATATATATATATATATATATATAGCCATACCCTTACTCGGGTATGTTGTAAAGCCTGTTGTGCTTTAAAATGGCTTCTACTGTGCAGCACAGTGGAGTTGCCATGGTAACGGCTTTACAGTACTCCACAAGGGGGCTCCCTCTGGTAAGGGGAAAAATCCAACATTAGAAATAACGTTTCGTGGGGAGATTTTCAACAAGGCTTTGATTATTCTTGAGGACAAATGTTGACCATGATCAATAAAACATTAGTGCAACTCAGCCTGCCAGCACCACTATAAGACTAACACAATGTACTTCAGACAAATTACATAGGAGAAAAGAACTACAACGTTGAACAGCTTAGTACGTATATTGCGGACAAGAAGCCATTTCTAAATCAAGACCAGAAACAAGCATACCAAATGATCATGGATCAGCTAGCAAAACAAGGTGGTATCTTTTTACTTGACACTTCTGGGGGCACAGGGAAAACATTTTTAACTAATTTAATTCTCGCAAAATCAGGGCTCAGGGTGAAGTTGCTCTTCCTGTGTAATACAGGATTGGGATAAATAAATACCTGAGCAACGCCGGGTTATCCGCTAATGGGAATATACCTGAGAAATGCCTCACATTGCCATCCTTCATTTTGTAATTCCTTTTATTACAGGAATTTTCCTTCCATAAGGAACATTCCATTTTTCCTTTAAACCATACTAATCCACCTATTCAGATTTTCTAATAATTCTCTAAACTGAAAGTGGTTTATGATGTTTCAGATATGGTCATGCCCCAAGAGAGGTTTGTTTCATCTGAAGCACATATGTAGTACAAACAACTTCCGATTCAGTATATTAAACTGACGGCCTCAGTGTGATCCAAAGAAAAAATGCAAGGTTCCAGAATTCTCCAACCATTAAATTCCCAGGAACGAGATGTAGTACTTATCTTTTTTTCAGGACACTTGTTCAATTCATTCATGACTCTTCAAAGCACCAAAAAGCACCAGCCAATATAAATAATTTTACTTTCAGATGTTGTTAAATCTTCTGATTGTACAAAATATTCATGCTGTTATCACATTCCATTCCTGCGTCATGCATCTATAAATACGGTTTAGATGCCTTGTAACCTCAAAATAACTTTTCCCAATTTAAAGAGTTCAAAAATTTATTGAAAAACTAACCACAATGTTAGGTACACAAAGCAGAATCCACAAAGGATTTCCTAAATTGGAAGCAGATGAAATGTTATGTTGCCAAAATAATAAATTAGCACTAGATTGAGTCAGTGCTCCCTCCCTTAATGTGTGCTGCTTTTTAAGCCTAGACCTCTGAACAAAATGACTTTCCTCTCCCTTTTTGTCTGGCAAATGCCAAGATTTTAAGAGTTTGTAGGCACGCCTAAAGTACAAAAGAATGCAAGAGAGGTGATAAATTCATGGACTGTGTCTTCTCTCTCAAATGAAATCAATGACATGTCCTTTCCGAACCTCGTGAGCACCAAATGCATTGAATGTTACCTCTGTATCCCACCAGCTACCATAACCAAAAATTAGGAATATGAATTTAGAAGTCACAAAGTTGGGGAATACTGGAAAAACTAATATCTCTTCCCTGGATTCATTGGAGATTAAGATTTATTAAATGTCATTATCATTACCTAATTTCCAGATAAACAATTTAAAGCCCTCATTCTCTTTCTAAATATAAAGTGTTAATGCAGACACGTGATCACAAAAAGGGTTGTATTACATCAAATATTTATTCTCTCATAAGACAATGGTATTTGTCCTGCCAGCAAGAAGCCACTAATGTGACTGCAGAATAAGCAGGATACAAACCGTTTGCAATGCCACATATGGAACCAATCTTGTCTGCCCACGTCTATGACAGTGCACAAACCAAGAAATTTCACCAACTAAAAAATAGCATTGCAAAATATTTACAGAAGCCACCCAAACACAAAAGCCTGATGATCAGGTTTATATGTAAGAGATTAGAGCCAGAATTTACCCTGGTAAACTATGTATTTCTTCTGATCACTAAAAATACTCAAGACAATATACTTCCCATACAGCACAGACATAACCAAGTCTTTCTTAAGAATTGATAATATGACAGTGCCTTTTCGTCCATTTTCTATTATGATTTATCCTCCCAAGTATGATCATAGATTGAGATGGAAGATACTTTATTGTCACAAAAGATGTTGTTCAACTGGATGCCACTATAACATGGAACCCCATTCCCATATCTCATCATAGAAGATAGAAATCTTAACTGATTGTCACAGAAGCCCCTCCATCTCCTTCATAAAAGCTTCATAAACATCATCCTTGGTCTGCACAGAAACAGGGGCAGATGAGCCAGCTTTAGGAATTGTTTTGGTTATCTGAACAGAAGGCTCATCATCAGGTTTCCTCATGACAGAGGCAGCTGTTCCCTTATTCTCTCGCCGAACTCGAAGAGCTGTAGGCACAAACCGGGTGATCTCAGCCTTGGGGTTTGTAATCTGTGGCTTGGCACTAATCGTTGCTGTGGCTTTCTTCTCAATGGTGGCTGCACTGGTATCATCCGCCTTGGGGCGCTGAATCAAGCTGGGGGGAGCGCTCAATACACCTGGATTTGGAATGGGAGCAGGTGGGAATAATCCAGGTGGAGGAACCAAAGGAGGGCGTAACATGCCTGGACGAGGAGGTGGAATACCTGCAGAAAGAGAAATGGTTATTCTTCTGATCTTTGTGAAGAATAAAAATTTAAATTTCAAATTATATACTGTCTCAGTTAAGATTCTCAAGTATTCATTGTGTTTGTTTCCTTACATGCACAATATCTGAATGAAAATTCAAGAGATCTTCCAAGAAAGACTAATCCTAAAACACATATCCTAGTGAATTACAGGCAGAGTTACAGGCCAACAATTGAATTCCAAAGTATAAACATTCCTATCACTGCAGTTGCTAACATTGTGCAGTACACAAAGTTCAACAAAATTTATTTTCTTCAATCACAATCTCTCACAACATTTCATGGAATCCCAATTTAGAATATTGTTTAAGATCTCTGTTCTACTAGAAATCACTGGAGAAACAAAAACATCCCACTTCTTAATTATAACATTACCTGGAGGAGCTGGAGGTGGCAGACGAGGTGGGGGCCCCCTAGGAGGTGGGCCAGGAGGCAAACCAGGAGGAGGGCCAGGAGGAGGGCCAGGTGGCCGACCAGGTGGAGGACCAGGTGGTAAGAGCCGTGGCAAAGGTCCACGCAGTCCAGGCAATCCGGGTGGTCTTAAGAAAGGAGGAGCACCTAAAAATATCACACAAATACACGTTAGTTGACTATTTCTCAATTAAGGGCAATTCTTCATCATCATTTTCTAATTGATATAGTTTAAATTGAAAAATGATGTTTCAAGAATGTGTTTACATAGCACTCCAATTCATTTCATGTAAAGGGTGACAGCAATTAAAACAAATTATTTTCTTTCAGAATCAAGTTCATTATATTATATAATGCAGAGTAGTATATATATCCATCCCAGTTTGTCACATGTATGTAGAGTAGTATATGTCCATCCCAATTTGTCACAAAAGAAAAATGGGGGGGGGGGGTGTCTTTTGTGACAAATTCTGCTGAGGTAACTGACATTCAGTCTGCTATAAAATATAGCAATATTTTATTAATCATATAAAACGACATCAGTGCCCCTACATTTAGCTAGTTTAATAATAAAACCGCCTGTTCAAATACCCACCTGGAGGGGGCCCAGGAGGAAGGCCAGTAGGAGGTCCTGGTGGCCTCAAAGGTGGTGCAGGAGGTGGTCCAAGAGGGGGTGGCCCAGGCATCGGAGGTGCTTGGATCGGAGTTGGAGGGACAGGCTGAGGTGGAGGT